CTTCTTATGAAGAAGACATCATTCTAACGGCTTCACCCACAATCTCCCTTCAATTTATCTTTCATAAACTCAGCCTTGAAATTGTAATGACTTATCTGGGTCCCCTCAATTTCTTTCTGGTAATCTCTGTGTCTCGTATAGAAAAAGGCATGTTTCTCTCTAAAAAAAATACGCCACCAAACTTCTCGACCGTTCCAACATGTTTGGATGCAACCACTGTCACACACTAATTGATATTTCTTCTAAGCTGAGTGTTGACGGTCCTCCAGTTTCGGATCCATCCATGTACCATAGTCTTGAAGGGGAATTGCAATATCTGACGTTTACATGTCCCGACATTTCTTTTGTTGTATAACGGATATACCTATTGATGAACGACCCATGCGAACCGCACCATTAAGCTCTTAACTCTATGTTACATTATCGTCATAGTACTCTTGACCATGGTTTACACATGTTTGCCACTACAGCATCAAAACTCTTAGCATATTCTGATGCTGACTGGGGAGGGTGCCGCACCACTCGACATTCGACTTCTGGGTATTGTGTCTTCCTCAGAGACAATCTTATTTCATGGTCGTCCAAGTGACAACACACCGTATCCCGATCATGTGCCGCATCAGAGTATTGTGTCTTCGCCAATGTCGTTGCTGAGACATCTTGGCTTCACAATCTCCTTCAAGAGCTCCATTCGCCTCTCCAATCTGCCACTTTTGTATATTGTGACAACATCAATGCCATCTACATGTCTGCAAATCCATTTCAACACCAACGAATCAAGCACATGGAACATGATATTCATTTTGGTCATGACAAAGTGGCCATCTGCCACATCCGGGTCTTCATGTTCCTTTCCGATACCACTATGCAAAAATCTTCATTAAGGGTCTCCCATTTCCCTTATTTTTTGAGTTTCAATCCAATTTGAGTATTCGAGAACCTCCCCCTTAAACTGTGGGGGCATATTGGCATGTATATATATATATATATATATATATATATATATATATATATATATATATTTATATTGTTATGTATCTTGACCCTTTTAGGGCTCAGCCCATTCTTGTACCTGTATCCTATATATTTATGTAAACTGAATCAATAGTTTTCATGGGAATGTATACTAGTTTTAAATTTATGGATGCTAGATGTTATTGTAGGAGTGGTGGTAGTAGTTGCATGGTTGGCTAGCTTTCCTTGTTGGCTGAACTGGTGTTGTTTATGGTTTTTGTAGGACTTTATGTGATTGGTTGTGGTGTCATTGGTGTTATTTATTTGTGTTTTTTGTAGGAACGAAAGTTGATATCATGTTTATTGGGCTACAAGGCGAGTCTGTTGTTCATGGGGGTTGTTGTCTATCAATCATTTTCATTACAAAAAACTAATGTCGCCACGTGGCTCTTTTGGCTATCGATGGAGGATGTAATATAAACCATAATATTCATTAACTTTAAACCATGCAACATTAAATCTTTGTGATTTTTTTGCCAAAAAGAGTATAAGGAAACTCGTGGAATTTAAGTTGGCAATGCCCTTTTATGAGGTATGCTCTTTGAACTTCATCTCGAACATTAGAATCATAATCTAAAATCCTAATCCTCATATATCCTAGGGTCTGAGGGAAGTTCTACTAAATTGAATTCAACATGGCTATTATTAGAAAAATCAGCATTAGTTGCCTCTGATAAATCCAAAACTTTTCTTTTTGTTACATATTTATCCATGTCAGTTAAATAATAAGTAATTAATAAAAAATAAACATTGTTTCTTATTATAAACATAGTAACTAAGCATAAAAACAAACAGAGAAGACGAGGTTGTGCTCGTTTGATGCATAAACAAAAAAAAAAAAAAACAACGTGAAAAATGGCTACAAAACAAACATTGTCACTTTCTTCTTTCATTTACTTCAATAAAACAAATACTCACTTTCTCCTTTGATTTAGTGCAGTAAAACAAAGGGATGGGGCTACTAGATCTCTTCTCCACAAGTTGATGGGATTAGTTTAATATTCAAAAGAAAATTGGCGTCCATCAAAACAAACAAAGAAGTGATGTTAATTTAATATTTATCAGTGGGGACAGGGGACATATCCTAAATAAACACAGCGAACATTATACCCTAATTTTGTTCATAATATAAGTTATTAGCAGTTTAGAAGACAATAACTTCTTGGCTGCTCAAAGGGGAATTTTGGTATCCTAGTAATTTAGTCGGTTTGGGCCTAGCTAGTAAAAAAAAATCAAAAAGTTGAGGGTAGTTCTGGGCTTACACTGGACCTATGTGGCTTGGCCATTGGGAATCTGCAGTGCAAATTGGGATCGGAGGGTAATATATAGTAATGTTGACTTAGACCATTTTAAAATTGGTATAAAGCAAATATTATGCGTGCATGTTCGTGTAATTAAACAACACAAAGTTAAGGAGGGAAAATTTTCACGCTAAGACTCTGGTATTATCGATGCTTAAAATGTAAACAATGAATGGTTCTATATACAGAGCATACAAGCAGAAGAAACAAGAAACCATTGCATGAAATAATTAAGAAAAAATCCAAAACAAAGTAGTATGACTAATAGCAAGCTGTTGATAAGATAGTAAGAAGACTTTCTGATTTTTCGGGATTGTCTTGGAATCATTCTTCAATAAGACTAGAGTGTGGGCGCATGGTTAGTGGCAACGGGGCTTGGTAGATGATTTGAAGCAGACGTATCATGCAGCAACAGGGTACATATCAAGGGATAAACGAGGCGCCAGAAGGACCTCAAGTGGGATCGCTTTGCTGATAGTCACTCCAGCGCTTTCACTCATATCAATGGGTTCATCCGATGGCTTTTTAAGCACAAATTGTTGTATTAAAGTAGCTAAAGTTATATGCAAAGACCGAAGAGCAAACGGAATAGCAGGGCATACTCTTCTACCACTACCGAAAGGAATCAATTCATAATTGTTTCCCCTGACATCAACATGTTTATGAGTTGTCAAGAATCTTTCGGGCTGAAATTCTTCAGGGTCTGACCATTTATTAGGATCATGTTGAATTTTCCAAAGATTAGTCAATAAACGTGTGCCTTTAGGGATTTTGTAGCCACCAATAACGCAATCCTCCATGGACTCATGAGGAAGGTTTAGAGGTCCAGGCGGGTATAAACGCAGTGTTTCTTTAACGATTGCGTCAAGGTAAACAAGGTTCTTCAGGTCCGACTCCTCCACTGCTCTCTTCCTTCCAACATGCTCATCCAATTCATCTTGGGCAATTTTTAATACTCTTGGGTTGTTGAGCAACAAACATAAAGCCCATGTTAACGTTGCAGACGATGTGTCCAATCCCGCAGCTAAAACAGTCTGCAAGTTTGAAGTTAAAACAAATTTGTTGTATTAGATTTCAAGCAACATGCATGCTGATAATTTTGTTTTTTGCACACCTTATCTTTGCCACTGAAAACTGTTGCAAATATTATAAAGAATGTGGAAGAAACTATAAACGATTAACAAACTTTACTAATAGTAGTCGTATAGCATTGGTGATGTATAAAATGATGATGAGATAAAGATTAGGCTTACCAAACATGTAGCCTTGATTATGGTATCATGGTCAAAACCACGGAATTCCTCTGGGGAGGCACCTTCAAGAACGGAAATCAGAACATCCATGAAGACTTGGCTTCTTTCATGTTGCTGCGCATGCTTTTCCTCCGCTCTCACTCTCTTGTGATCCTCTAGCCATCCTGTAACAATTTCGTACATCTCTTCTCCTGTGATCTTCATTTTTTCTCGTATCCTCCCAGGTCCAAAGGCTTGAGATATGGAATAAAATCAGACACCACAAATGTGCCCAATAAGACAAAGAATTTCCTTATCACTTTTTGAAATCGAACCCCTTCTTTGTCATCAGGTGAAAACCTTTTTCCTGAAACAACCCTGACGACAACATTTAATATCAAGTTCTGAAACCATTGTTTCATATCCACCTTTACCATGTCGGAACTTCCAGTCTGTTTATTCTTTACCCAAGCGTTATATATATCTTCCATGGATGCTTTAACCTCTGCAGCACGAAGAGGTCCAAGCATCTCCACACGTCGCTGAGAGAGAACCTCGAGTGTCAAGATCTTGCGCACTTGTCGCCAGTAGTCCCCATAAGGAGCGAGAGCCAAGATGGCATAGTTATAGCCCATGTGTTCTACTGCCATTGACTTGGGTCGACTTGCAAAGACCTTATCGTTTGTGGTAAAGCACTCTTTCGCCATCTCAGCGCTACTCACCACCAAAACATTGTGAACACCAAGCTTGATGGTGAAGATGGGGCCGTATTTATCAGCCAATCCACCTAAGACCCTATGAGGTAATTCAGGTCCACCAAGAAGGCCCAGGTGTCCGATTACCGGCCATCGGCCCTTTGCTTGAGGTGGTTCTGTGTTCTTCACTCTCTTTCCTTTCAAGATTTGCAGCAGGAATTTTAGTAGAAAACCAAAAAATATGGCTGCTATACTTGCTGAAAACGGGAGAAACAACTTCATGTTTTCTACGTCGACAAAGAATTATGAAACTGATGATACATGGATTTCATAATATATACAGATGTAACTCCCTGGCTGCTAACGTTTTATATATATATATATATATATATATATATATATATATATATATATATATATATATATATATATATATATATATATATATATATATATATATATAGTCAAATTGAATGTTAATATAAAAGTCAACAAAGTGTGCTGAAAAATTTGTTGGATACAATTGTGTTATTAAACGTAATGATCAATGCATGTAGCATAAACAATATACTTATAAGAAGGGAATATAATTTAAGAATGACATATACATTTCTTGGTCTTGTGCCAAGAAAAATGATAGAATCTTTCTGTTGGAATTTGATGTATTTTGACCAAATTAAATTAATTTCATCTATTTGACACCTAATGACGTTAATATCAAAATCTTTCATTTCAATTTCTTTGAATTCGTTTGCATTCCATGACACAAGGTTGATCTTAATTTATTTTCTAAATAATAATGTATATGATTCGCACTAAATCATTTTTTTTAAAGTGCAATTTTATAAAAGAAAACGGCATGTGCTTCTACCTGAGCAAAGTATAATTAAAGAAATTTTTAAAAAAAAATTATTAAATCACATAACAACCTTAGCCCATAGTAAAATCCAAATGCCTCAAATAAAGAACCTAGACTCTTGAATTATATATGAAAACTAGCCAAGAATCAAATGCCAACATACTCCATAAGTAATCTAACGTTTGATGACCACCTTAACGTCTATGAACTTTTGATGAAAATGAATCCTTAAATGTTTGAACTGACAAGGGTATTAACAGTAGGTTGCACGACCCAATGTTGGAACAAATGATATATCAATCATACGGTGACCATGACTTCTCTGATTACGCCAACTGTCTATCACCACTAGCATTAGTGGCTGGAAAATGAAAGCTGGTGAAAGATTGAATCAAAACTGTTGGGGTATAAAGTTTTGTCCAACATAAAGCACTTACAACAATAAAATGTAACCTTTAGCGACGACAAAAAACGTCGCAATTGATGCTCGTGTCGTCGCTAATACCTTTAGCGATGGCATCTCGTGTCGTCGCTATTACCTACTAGCTAATACTCACTTGTTGTCGCAAATGGCATTGTCCCTAATACTCTACGCCGGTAAATGTCTTTGTCGTCACTATTGGCGTCGTCTCTATTGATAAGTGTTTCCGAATACTCTTCTTGGAATCAGTTGTTGTCACGACCTTGTCAATGTGGTTCCTAAAGGTGTCACTGCAAATATATATATATATATATATATATATATATATATATATATATATATATATATATAACAATTTATTTATGATATTAGTTTGTGTATATTATAAAATGCAGATTTGATAAAAATGCAGAAATAAATACATACGACATTACATAAAACATCAAATATATCACATTACATAAACTATCAACTTATAACATCCCAAAAATACAGTCTGAAAACTTCGTTTTAAAAATAATAATAAAACTATGTTCATCAATCGTCATATAAGAATCATAAAGATTGTATCTCAAAATATCTTAACAATTGTCAAATATATCAGAGTATAAACATCCCAGGCTGAACAAATGGTGTGTGCACTGCAATCTTCCCGAGCTCCTCTTTTAAAAACTAAGTACCTGAAACCAAAACTGAAAACCGTAAGCACGAAGCTTAGTGAGCTCCCCCAAGCTACCACATACCATACAATAACATATGAAGCATCTACTGGGCCTTGCCCACTGCATCGGACCGAAGTCCAGAAACTAACCAGGGCCTTGCTCTCTGCATCGGATCGAAGTCCGGAAACTGCATCGGACCGGAGTCCGGAAACTGCATCGAACCAGAGTCCGGAACTAACTAGGGCCTTGCCCTCTGCATCGGACCGAAGTCCGGGAACTGCATCGGACCGGAGTCCGGAAACTGCATCGGACCAGAGTCCGGAACTAACCAGGGCCTCGCCCTCTGCATCGGACCGAAGTCCGGAAACTGCATCGGACCGGAGTCCGGAACTAACCATATATCTTTGCTAGAGACAATTTGTTTTATTAAAGTGAATGAAAATGTAACATCAACATTTAGTTGAGAAGGGAACATAATTTAGTAATGGAATTTACATGATTTGAACCTACAGTGTAGCCTTCATATGAGTCTAACTGTTGCAAGGATGAGTCTTCTACTCAAAGGATTATCTAAGCGTTCTATCAAGCAAGAGTGTTATGTTGTAGTCATTGGTCAGTGATTTGTAGAGGGATGTCAGTCAGGCAGGGAGACATGGTTTCAAAACTTTGGATTTTAGACAAGGAGGTAAGAATTATTCCTTAAGGGTCAACTTTAGATATATAAATATATGTTCCTTCAGTCTATATTAGAGTTGTGGATGGGCTATTTAGGTTATCTGGTGTGGCTGGGTGTTATTATGGAGATATTTCGTGGACGAAATCTAAGTTATGTGGGGGAGAGTTGTAACACTCGGTTTTAAAGCATTTCATTATTTGGGCTCGTGACCCAAATCATCAGTTCTCATAAGGCTTCGGGCGTTCATAAGGCTTCGGGCATTGGGGGAAGAGGGACCTAGACCTTTTTGGATGAGAATATTATAGATTAAGTGATCTGAGTGTTCGGTTGTGTTTCAGAGCCCATGGGTATATCGGTGATTTGGCAATTCAGGTATTTATGAATTTTGGATTTTGTTAAAAAAGTCTTAAGGCAAGGATGACTTGATAGAAGTGTGTAGCTTCTCGTTACCTTTTTGTGGATATAAAGAACATCAAAAATGGACTTAGAACGAAGGAGTTATGGCTGATTTGAATTTAAGTGTTTTAGAGCTTGTTTGAGTACATGGGGCGTACTCACCAAGTAAGCAAGGTGTATTGGTTGGATGGGTCGTGAATGCCTTCTAAGTACGTCAGGCGTACTTAGGGTACACGGGGTGTACGCCCTTCAGATGGAAACCTAATTTATAGGGGTTTAGTCCTATTTAAGCTTCTTTTATTCATTAACCCTTGCCTTTTATCAGCCTCCATGCCTCCTAAACCCTAATCTTGAAACCTAGCCACCATCTTGGAGTTCTTAATATTTAGTGAGGAATCTTGGAGTGTTTTTGTACATTTTGAAGAGATTCGAGCTTGTTGCCGAATCATCACTTGGAGTGGAGGTTTGAGATCTAGAAGTTACTCATCTTTTGCAACCTATTAAAGGTAAAATTCTTTAATCTTGTCATCTCTTTTGGATGGATCTAGTTTAGAGTGGTTTGTGGCACATTGTGGTCTCTTTGGTTTGCCTTTGGGAGAATGAGTTTGCTTCAGGAGTTTGGTCCCTAGATATGGAGGTTTTAGATATCCCACATACATAAAAATGGAATTGGGGGGGGGGGATAATATCAACCCATGCATGAGTTTTAGTGCCTTTGTGGAAGTTGTTAAGATAGGACTTCGATTTGGGGCCCTTTGAGCCATGCCAAAGCTCAATGTCAACAACTTTATGGATTAAGGCATGATTTGAAACAAGTTCGGAGTATTGGATGCTTTGGCTTAAGGGACTAAGATATTTTTTAAGTGGATTGTGAGCAGTCTGCATACGCGGGCGTGCATTGTGGTACGTTGCACGTACATGTACGCTGAGCATACCAACTGAGTACGTGGGGCGTACTCAGTCTGTTTTGGCTTTCTTGATTTGTTGACCTTTTGACTGTTGACCATTAGCAAGACATTTAACTGGAGTAGACCAATGGATATTTTGGGCCTTTTAGGATATTAGGCCTTCTCGGATTAGGTCCATGATGGGTTTTTGGCCCAATATAGAAAATTGGGCCATGTTTGGGCTTTGGGTGATTATTTTTGAATTTGGGATTTTGGACAAGTGGATTGGGCTTTGGCCTTGGGCCAAGTTCGGGCAAGAGTAAAAAGGTATTTTAGCCTAATTTGGACTCTTAGTGTGAGTCAGGATCAAATTGTTAATTCGATATTATTTTATGATTGATAGGACAAGGGATTTTAGCGGATCTGCAGCTGGAGATTTATCTATGAGTTTCAGCAACCTGAGGTGAGTCTCCTCATTGTATGTATGGTTCGAAGGCACCATTGTAGTCCAGTTTTCTTATGTGTTGTTAAAAGACCAAGGGGTGGCCCTTGGCATTGTATGAAACACCCACAGGTGGCTCCTGGCAAATATGTATGCATGACTAGGGTTCGGACCCTGACAGTTAAGTAGATTGTTAGTTGGGGTATGTATGCATTTTGTCTTTGTGATGCTTTCATGGAAGACCAATCGGTGGCTCTTGGGACATATCTACCTAAGGTTATGCTTCGCAAGGAAAGACC